CTTTAGGATATTCAAGGATTCTATGCATTAAAATGTACCAAGTGCTTTGACTGAAATAGGAAAGTGGATTTTTTTTCTGTGTTATTACAGAATGATATAACTGGGAAAATAATGAAACCAGTAGATAAACAGTGTTGGAAATTATCATAAATTTTTTACTTCTTAAAATACTGCCACAGCTTTTCACAGTCATCATTGTTAGCTGGGAGAAGGTGAGAGGCTAAGCCTGTGGCCCAGGACAACCTAGATTCAGAGATCAAGTGAAAATTCTTGCTTTTACTCAAAGATAAGGTTTCTGTTCAAGCCTAAGAGATCTTCCCACCAGTACTGGCAGATTTCTTCCAACATTTGCCAAATTCACACAATGGTTTCCCACTGCCTCTGCTACAGTAATTTCAGTCTTTTAGAGCAGAATCAACACTATATATTAACCTTGTAGAATTCCCTTCAAAAAGGAAACTTTGTTAACTTGATTTGATCACCATTTACATATGGTACTTTTTCCCAAAGAGAGGTTCATGCCCTCATGTCATGGTTGAAATATTTTAAAAGTTTAATAGTGCAATATTCAGCAACTGCATGAGAAGACAAGAATTTGACATGTCAGCCTCATTTCACTATTTCAGTAAAGGGTAAAATACATTTTCACAATAATGAAGGTTGCCTGAAAACTGAGATGCTCAGAAACATTATTTGCTATAAGTCCTTGTTTTACAATAAAGGATAGATGACAAATGTAACTAGAAAATTTTTAGTTCTTCATATATATAAATCTAATTTTTAATGGATTTGAATGATTTCTTTTTACCCACAAATAATTTAGCATTAAAGAAATAATTTCTGATTTGTAAATTAATTACTTAAAACTATATAAAACTACATATAACTTACTAAAAATAAAGGTAAACTTTCTCAAATAGGCACTGGAAAAATAACATAAAAAACTTTTACTATTAATAACTGATTACTATTAATAAATATAGCTATTAATAACTAATACATAATAAATAACTACTACCCTTGATTAGCATTTCTAGTTCTTTAAAAAAAAATGGACTTTAAATTTTTAAATGAGAACAGATCAGGAATAGGTATTGTCCAGTAATCAGAATGCTAAAAGTTACCAGTACCAAACTGGATGTAATTGCTATTGCATAGTCTGCACTTAATGTGAAAAAGCTGTTTACTCAAACACTTCAAGGCCCAGAAATGAAGTTAGCTAGTGCTTATTTCCTGTATGCTGAAGAAGGTGCTACACATGGGACCAGACCTGTAACCATCACAAGCTGAGTAGTAAATAAAAGATGGCCTTTCTTTCAAGCCTTGAAGCTGTGGCTGTCAGTCAGGAAAGAACT